TCAAACTCTGCAGAAGCTCTTTAAATAAAGACATATTTCACCCTTGTTATAGATTCTTCCCATTTCACTCAGACAAAGGCCAGTGCTGGCTTTTGAACCAGCTGAGAAAGTCTGCTAGCCCTTGACTAACCGCTGACTGCTTTAGCCCTTATGGTTGATTCCAATTGAGTTGGAATTGAGCTGTTGGAAGAAAGATGTTGAGACATTCACAGTCTTTTCAGGATGTGTACACACTGTGACTTGTCAGCAGGCACGTGCAGCCTGTATGCAAGGGCTGAATCAGCTAAAATGTATATATTCGTATTAGTGCGGAATCAAGCTGAGCTAATGTTGCTGCTAGGAAGGATACAATAGTTCAGGCTGAGCTTCTTGGCTACAGAGTAACTACAGGAGCTGCAAAGGGACTACATCGGCATATTTACAGCTTGCAGATGCTTACTGACTTCCACTAAATAGAGCAGACTGTCTGTGTGAACTGCTTTTGTTATGCAGAAGGGTTTTGGAAACACATCAAGGCAACTGCCCACAGTTCAGCATGGGCTAACTGCACAGCAGTTGGAAAATAACATTATTTGGCTTGTCTCAACACTTTGGTAACTTACTTCAGAAACCAGGATTTTCTTCAGTTCTCAGCAGCCACAAACCTGAAGAAATTATCTCATTGCCACCATGGGCTCATGATTCCATACCAGCTGACCTGAGTACATACTCAGGTCCAGCATCCTTGCTCCAAAGAGGACAAAATTCAGTGGAAGTGTCTGCTGAGAAACAAAAAGCATTCTTCAGTGCCATGATGACTTTGTGTTGTCTGCTGTGAACAAAACTTCCCAGAGAAATGCAGCACACCACTCCAGATAGGTTATTGACTAAGATTATCACGACTGTACTTACTCAGTTTTATGAGGTATGTATTACCAATCAAAACGGTGTAGTCCTTTTCCAGGTACTGATTTTGTTCCTCACTTGTTACAAGTTAATTTTCTAGGTAATGCAATCAACTCCCTTTCTGCTTATCTTGGCATAAGAAATATCTGTGTTTGATGTTATGTATCAGGATTTAAAAATAGCTCTTAGATCTTACTCAGCTTCCAGCTGCTTGCAGGAGAAATGTTGGAGAGAAGGCTTCTCCGAACATGAAAGTGTCAGTAATAACCTCTACTCCGGAGGAGACACTTTCCAAAACTAAAGCCCTACAAAACTTGGGTACTTTACCTCCAGCAGCCTTCACTCTGGGCTTCTAATGTTGTGACTGCATCAAAAAAACAGTTGTTCTAGGGCAAACCCCCAATCTAGCAGCTCTGTTAAAAACTGGAATTTAAACCTTCTCACTGTAAGCTACATCCATGTTCTGACACATATCTGAGGTGGATGCTCAGCCTGTATAGCAACATCCTATCTTCCAAGAGCTACTTCCATATCTCAGCATCTTCTACCAGTCAAAACAGACAGCATGGATCACTTTCTACTCTTCAAAAAAAATGCAGAGTTTGTCTTTAAGGTAGTACTCTTTGGTGCTCTTAAGATTCTTTTTTCTTGTTTCTTATCCCAGCATCTGTTTAGGGAGCTTGTTTGTATGGTAGATTTTAACAATTTCTCTCTCCCCGGGTGACATGATGCATGAGTTAAAACTATTGGCTTTGCAACACGTTACATATAGCACTTTTTAAAAGATTTGGTTTGCACAATATGTCTTAATTTTATGAACTCCGTGCTCTTTAGGGTGTTGTCACCTCATGACAGAGACCACATATGATGTCAATACTCTGATGATGATTGCAGAAATAGATTGCTTGAACTGCCCAGTCTTTGCCCCTTCCTCACTGTTTGCTGTCAGTTCTAGATTACCACATCACAGCTTGTACAAAATCCTATACGAACAGATTGCTGAATATATTGCCAGTGGGTATTACTGTCTGCAGGTTATATGCATTCCCACTGGAGCTCTGTACCAGGGATGCTTGGGCACAGTGGGATTCTGTGTCATGGTTTGATCTAAGTAAAAGCTTTCTATTGTTACCACCAAATATCTAGCACATGTGCTTTCAGAATATATGTCATTAATCAGTATATATTCTCTTGTTACTACTGTGTTTCTGAACTAGCCTGGCTCTGTTTTACTTCCTCAGTGGATCCATATTATTAATTTAAACTATTACTTTCTTATTAATTCTGGTATCTGTTTTTCTTCCAGGCTTTTTCTGCTTTTATTGAAGCACTCGTTCTTGTGGAATGAGTAATAATAAGCAGAAACACATCATCTCTATTAATGAATGGTATCTATCATCAGTTTGCTTTTTCAGGGTCTGGTAGCTATCACACACAAAACAGCTGTTTAACTAAAGCCGGCAAGAATATTCTGGCATTATTCCTTCTCCTCTGAATGCCCCATGGTTGACACAGATAATATTTAGCTTTAAGAAAAAAACCCAGGGAAATCAAAATGATGTGATTTCTCATCTCCATGTGAGTGCCAGGGAGCAGTGAGGGAGAGCTGCTTCCTGAGGGACAGGGTTTGGGATCCCAGCACAGTAACCTGGTCAACAGAGCCCACTCCCAGACAGGAGTGAGGCAATGGCCATAGCCATGGCCATTGGCACCTCCCTGGGGGCAGGGTGGGCACAACCGGAGACTGGCCCTGCTGTGGTGTTGCTGGGGCTGGGACTGATGGTTTTGGAGGTTTGAAATAGGGTCCTGGACCATAGACAGGATGAGGGTAACCCTGGAGTGCTGGACAGGGGTAGTGAGACTTGGTGGTGCCCTCAGGACCTGACAGTGATATCTGAATCCTCTTGTTACTGCAGTATATGTTAAGCTTAGAAGAGCTGATTATAGCCAAAAGTATACACAAAAGAAAAGCAAGTGGGCTCCAGTCAAGTGTTGTTCAATACCATCCAGTGTTCCCATTTGACTCTACTGCCTCATTGTTGCCTTTTTATTTTCCATATGTTTAAAATAGGATACTATATATGCCAAGAGCAATTGTTTTCACCATGTGGGCACCTCCTGACTCACAGAGCATAGTCTCAGTTCCAATACCACCCTTGTACCTAGTGGTTTTCAGTAACCATAGCTCTTCCTTGCCCCTTAAGGCTTCAAGCATGGCAATGGGAGTCACTGTGTTAAGGGAGCAGAGCCAAACGTGGCTTGTGGAAATCTGAACCCTACTGGTTCTTCTCCCAGGAGTAACATTTCCTGGTTACTCTCCTAGTATGGTTATTTCAGATCAGTGCAATCCCAACACTCTGTGATTCCCAGTGTTTCTCACACATCTGGACACTTTGAGGAGTTTCAGAGCTCAGTATTCAGAATGGGTTAATATATGCCAGTAAGTCATCTGACAACTGAAATGGTAATTTTTTCCTTCCTTTCCTTTGGTATTTTATGTATGAATCAAACCAACCTTCCCAGGCTTTTTCCACCTCCCATTTTGACCATTTTTTCAAGAGAGGTGAGATTGGGAATCATCCCAGACCTGTTGATTCTTTTCCCTGTCTTCCAAGAAACAGTCTTTGGGTTCTTCCATGTGCTAGACCATTCTTCATTGCCATCAGAAATAAAATTATATTATTATTAGCATAATTGTTCTGTCTACAGTCAAATGAAGCAACTTCTCTTACCTGTGTCTTAGCCTATTAAAGTCAGCTTATTTTCAGACAGAATTTGGCCTGTAATATTTAAGTAGTTCTAACAGTTTACTTTAACTTACTCACTGAAAAAGTATGAAATAAAACTTTTATATTCCTTTGGCTCTAACTGCAATTTTTGTCTTTTCTCCACTGTGGCATCTTTTTCAAAATTCCAAGCAATTCTGTTATCAATGAATTTTCTCCTCTAAATTGCCAGTACTTCACTGAGTATCTCACCTAAAGAGAAAGCTTATTGATAGATGATGTCTGGCCATGAATATTTAAGCCTTACAGTCTGAAAATCCCATGGGATCCCACAGCAGCAGAGAGAACACTGTTGCCTAAAGTAAAATGAATTACAGTGTTTCAGGTCTGATTTCAAAGGTCTGATGGGGCTTTTCATTGCATTTCACTGTTAATAATGTAGGATATTTGCACACATAATAAAGCTTATTGATAGATGATGTCTGGCCATGAATATTTAAGCCTTACAGTCTGAAAATCCCATGGGATCCCACAGCAGCAGAGAGAACACTGTTGCCTAAAGTAAAATGAATTACAGTGTTTCAGGTCTGATTTCAAAGGTCTGATGGGGCTTTTCATTGCATTTCACTGTTAATAATGTAGGATATTTGCACACATAATGTTTTTATAAGTTGCAGCAGGAATGGAATTGTAAGATGAGTGATAGTCTCCGCTCCTACAAAATGTTTGAGTAAATCCTTTGCACTCTTGGACTTCTGCTAGGTGTTTTACGGAGCAGCTCGGCTGACTGTCTCTACCACAGAGATATCTGTCTTCTCCATGTGGAAGTTGTGATGTAATTTATTTAACATCTGTGATACTGTGCACAGGAAAACTGATGAACAGTTGCAGAAATTAATTATTAATTAATTGGCTTGCAACCATCTAGCTGTTCACTATGTACTATTGCTAGTGCTTTCCATCACCATTCCTTTCCACTCCTTGGTTTTGTCTTTCTTCAGCCTTCCAGTCTCTTACAATCACTTATTCTGTGTTGATTGAAATCACATTGTAAATTTTTGGGGACTGAAGTGTCTCTGTTTTTATTATAATCTGAGCAACTAATAATATGGAAGAGATCGATTACAACTTTTTCTCAATACGAAAACGAGACCAAGAGAGAAAAACAGTTTAAGAAAAGGGCTTATTGGTCTGATTAGTTTCTGAACATTTGCAGTGAAAAAGGACTTCCTCTGCAAAGCAAGTCAAGAGAAATGACATTATAGAAGGTTCTTATAGCCTTTTGTTGCTTAGTTAATTCAAACTGGTTTTCATTGATCTAGTTCTCTAGCACTGCTTTCCTACTTATTTGCTTATCTTTGAGCATGTTTTGTTTGGGGTTTTTTGCAGGTCAGAATTAGCCTCCTGTTGTGATGCAGTTCACAATTTTATTGCTTCTCAAAAGAACAGCCCACTGGGAAGTAACATGAGTTATGAAGTGGACAGTAAAAAGACCATCCTCATTACAGAGGACATTTTTAAGATGCTACCTGTGGTAAGCACTGTTATTATAATTGCAATATCATATATATTTTGGATTAGTAGTTGAGCTGCTCTGATTCCTCTGGAAGAGTCCCTTCAGCCCTTGTATACACTTCTTTATTCGCCTTACAAGACCTTTTATTTTAGCCTTCCTCTGCAGTGGTGGAGGCATGGACAGGGTATCATAGATCAGATTGTAGGTAGAGTTGCTACAGAAGACAAGTTACAGCTTGACTTGGCAGCCAGCTGAATTCAGGAGTGAATACTCTGAAAATGTTTGCCTTGCTTTTATCATTCCAATTTTTAAAGGCATTTCAGTCTGGAAGAATGTTTCATATTCCTCATATGCCCATGCCATTTCTGGTGCAGGTTTGGGCATGTAATTTCTGAAAGCTATTTTGATTGTATTTGTCCATATGCCTCTTAAACACTGACAGGCTGGGGACATCAACCACCTCTCTAGGAAGCCTGTTCCAGTGTTTGACCATCCTGTCAGTAAAGAAATGCTTCCTAATGTCCTGTCTAAACCTCTCCTGGCACAGCTGTGAATCCTTCTGATGTGTCCTATCACTGGATAGCAGGGAGAAGAGATCATCAGCTCCCTCTCCACTTCCTCTCCTCCGGAAGCTGTAGAAGCAATGAGGTTGCCCCTCAGCCTCCTTTTCTCCAAACTAAAGTCCAAAGTCCTCAGCTGCTCCTTATAGGACATTCCTTCTAGCCCTTTCACCAGCTTTGTTGCCCACTGGATTGAGGGCATTTGCAGCCAGAAACACAGGCTGAGAAAAGGAATCAGGTTTTGTAGCTCAGTAATTACAACAGGCATGTAAGTTCTTGAGACTAGACAAAGAGGTTGCATTTGGTTTCTTGAAACTAAGAGTACATGGGAGCCTTCTTACCCATCTCTGGCATTCTTGATTTGTGAGATCCCAGCTACCCTGAGTCTAGTTCTTCCTAATACTGCTGTTAACCCCTAAAGACTTCATTGCAATAGAGCTTACAGTGGTTCTAAATTGAAGTTGAATTAAATAAAAAATGTAGTATGCTTTATGTGCACATATTTGTGCTAAACTAGCCAGAGTTGTTTGGACTTTGTGTTCTCCTTTTGTCTTTTCAGAACTGAACAAAATATTTGAACATATTGTTTTCTAATATATTGCCAAGCAACATGATCTTTGCCACTTTCCCCACACATTTTGCCTTGTTCATAACAGTGTCCTTTCCTGCTTTTCTTTGGCCAAGATGATGAGAGAAGGAGGAAGGATAATGCTTTCTGTAAGCAAGTTTTGACTCAATTTTACAACTGGGTTTAGTTTCTGCAGTTAAAGTAGCCCAGCTGTTGGCCCCTCTGTTGAATGTCAGTGCTCCCACAGTAGAAGAGGCTAAACAAGATGTATGAAAAGTTTCCAAGACTGGGATAACAGCCAAGTATATTAATGTCAACCAAAATAGCCAACAATTTACATTAATTTGCTAGGTTGTGATCTGTGCTGTTTCTCAAGTGGATGCACTTAGCTCCCACTCAGCTTCATCACTGCAAAACAGCAAACTGTAACAAGAAGAGGAGCTGAGAGGGTGAACAGCCAGAAACAGTGTCCCCTTCAGTGAGGGCTCACATTCACCATGAGTTAATCCGGGGCACATCATTATTCTTTACAGCATCTTCAGGTTCCCCTAAATTTGTTATTGTACTTCAAATGCAGTTGTGTGTTGACACAAGTAATGAGCATTTACAAAGTTACCTTTTATAAGCTGAGAATGTCAATGACTGTGTGACAACATAGTCTGTTACAGTGCAAATTAAAATGTGTAAATTTAAACTGTCTTCAGTACAAGTTAGTTCCTTAGCTTGCCAAGGATTCAGTCTACTAGCAGATAGTTTTTGTGTTAAGTGTGTTTAAAAGATACCCAGATTTAACAGTCCAGTGTTATTCCCTCAAAGATCTGATGACAGAACTAACAGTTCTCAGTCTGTTGGTGCCTATTTTTGGCTCTTGGCTGTCCAAGTCTGGCAACCCTGTCTGCTAAATGGTGAATGCTTTTACTGGGATTTACCCAATTAAACCTGCAAGAGCAAATAGACACAAAGAAGCCATCAAAATATTTATAAGGCACTGGCTGTGTCTTTTTATTTGTTTGCAGTCCTCTCCTCTTTCAGCCTATCCCTTCAAGACCTGTGCTGTGGTTGGAAATGGAGGCATTCTGAAAAACTCCAGCTGCGGAGCTGAAATCGATAGTTCTGACTTTGTGTTCAGGTAAGAGCCGTTTCATCTGATGGAAGTGTGTCTGGTGTTTCTAAAAACTTGGCAGGCTTGGAGCATGCGAATGCCAGTTTGCAGCAACGAGGAAGGAGCCTGACAATTTATTTCTGCCTCTCTAAGGATATTCCTGCTTTGTAGTTTTCAAAATGCTGCTTCCTAATAAAAGAAAGGGCTATATAGATACATGTTTAATCTATAATTTCAAGGATACTTTGCCAGTGATTTGAAATATGATTATCTGAGAACCTGAAATTTCTGGTCATTTAGCATTTAGGAGACTGATATTAAATGCCACATGTTTAGCTATAGTTCAACAAAAGGTTTACTTAGTCTTCATTTGGCTCACTCATGTAGTTAATTTAACTCCCCTGATATTTGTCACGCTTCCTGTTCATCATCTAAAAACTTAAGCATCTATTTAAGTACATTTTTTCATCTCCCTCTATGGATCAGGAGAAAACCACGCATACTCAGAGCGTAATTTGACCCACTCTTTCAGTATGTGACTCACACTTTGTAGTTCCTGCAAGGGAATGGAGTAACAGAGAGAAGGTCCTTCTCTCAGTGATGTCCAGTCACAGTCACAGATTTGGTTTCTTTTTCTTACTTTTGCCTTATATTTGGGGTTTTGAAAATTTAAAAGAAACCCTTTCCAGTTAGATAACTGTCTTAATAAAAATGGGAAATCTGCATACTGAGATGCTAAACTTACTAAGGGAATGACTCTAAGAAAATGCTTTCTTTACCTTTTACAGGAATCACTGTTTCTGCAATTGGGCAAGTTATACTGTTGTTGTTAGAAGACATCATAGAGCACTTTCAGCAGAAATGCATTGTTTACGCAAGAGGAGCAATATTTCCTAGCAGCTAGCATAGGGCATTTGTAGACTGGCTCCTTCTGGGATTTTAACTGTGTTCCTGATTTGATATGATTTATGAAAATGAGCTCTCTGTGCCCTATTTTAACCATCTGTGCAGTAGATTAAATATTTTTACTAGGAAGTGCTGTAAGCCTTATTTAATATTTGTAAAGTGCTTAGAGATCCCTGGGAGCTGACGTGAAAGTGTCATTGCACAAGAGAGGAATTTGCAAATAATGACTGTAAAACATATCTTGTGTGCATCTGTTTAAGCAAATGTTTCTCAATTTCAGGTGCAACCTCCCTCCAACCATGGGAAGCATTAGCAAAGATGTTGGCAGTAAAACAAACCTTGTGACTGTTAATCCGAGTATCATAGCTCAAAAGTGAGTACTACTGCAAATCTGTTTCTGTGAAGTGGTGTATAATTGTTTGACATGATTCAGATTTTGTTGGAAATCCGTTGGGATGCCAGTATAGAGAGCAGTGCATGCAGATTACTTCATTAAGTTGTAGTTCCCATGTAAAATATGTACTAGTCTAAATGAAAATCTGTTAAACTTGGCCTTTTTTTTAGCAGAAAGGAGTCAGCAATACCCAGATTATCAAGAGCCTCGGTTGACACAAGTCAACAATTTACAGCAGTGTTGAGTTGATGATTGTAAGCCCAAGCCTCTTCTTTTTCTGCCATGACCCTCATGACCCCAAGCATTAAGAAAGTAATTGTAATCATACGTCAGGAAAGCCTGGAAATGTGTGTCCAGCTCTATCAGTAGGACTGTAAGCACATGTGCTTAGGTAACGTGCTTAGAGGCTCTTCTGATGAAGGCTATTTCCTGAATGGAGGCCCAGTTTCTGTAATCCATTTTCTCAACTCCTTGCTCACACACTCTTTTCTCTGCAGAGGTTTTTTTTTTTTTTTCACCTTCTTGATGAAAAGAAAATCTAATAAGGCCAGGCTGACTAATCTGATGTCTTCAGCAGGCTGGCACTGCAGCTTATCTATGAAAAGGACTGCTGTGGCATGTTATTTACTGCTTACTGATCTTACTGTATCTTATTGTCTGTCATATCTGTATTGTCAAAAAGACAACATCAGGCAAAGCTTTTTTTTTCTCCTTGAAAGGAAGAAGGAGAAAGTACAGTGAGTACACAGAAATGACTAACAGGCATTTGTCATTGATTCAGGGGTAGAACTTCATTTTTTTGCAACGAGTGCTAACTACCTTAAGGCTTACCCAGCCCTTTTTGCTTTAAATGAAGATGAATTATTGCTTCCCCAAAAATAGATTTAGCTCATTGATGTTAGTGGGGCTGCACAGTAATATGAGGAAGGAAAACTGTCCAGTGACTCAGCATCCTTGGTGACTACTGATCTGATCCACAATTTTTCTGGGCTTGATCAAAGCATTCTGCCACAGCTGCACTCATTTTTTAGCCAAATTTAGCCACACCAAGGTTAATAGGAGTTACACTGAAGGAAATAGGAACTAAACCTGTGAGAGGATGAAATGAGATTATGAGAGGACTTTAGGATTTTATAACATTAATTATTTAAATATTAAGAGAACACTGTAAATGCTTTTGAAGAAGGACCAGGAAGTAACTTGGTACCATTTAGAAGAACTAAGTTTGTTTCTTCTCTCAGAAGATCTATTCTGGAAATATTCCTGTAATATCTAGTTCTGTGTATGCATACCAGGTCTGATGTTACTATTGTTAAGATTAATCAGCTTTTGCATTGTGTCTGTCAGTGTGCACAATATAGGTGAACTCTCTTGAAGACCAGCATAGTTCTTATGTGTCCTAATGGAGAAAAGCACAGCTCTTACATATCCAAATGGAGGTGGGCTACACTCCTTAAAGTGCCAGAGCTGGAAAGGAGAACAAGATGAGGTTGAGTTGTCCAGGTTTCTAGATAAGGAAGAACTGAATTCTGTCCCAGAGGCTCTTTATGTACTTTACACTGAGTAGAAATAGACAAATTTCTTGGCGTTGAGGCTAGAAATTCACCCTTCAGCCACTTTTCCTTCTTGGTTTGGCTGTGTGACTCTTGCATGTACAGTTGCTCAGGGTCAACAGGAGGGCCTGAGTCTCTCTCATTCATTTTGTTTCAGAGTCTGGTGGTAATGGCACTTTTCTGGGAAGCAGAAGCTGTAAGTTTAAACCCCTTCAGGCTGAGAAAGGGCGTATCATTCCTTGCACAAATTCAGTTGTGCAGGAGGTAACTGATAACTCCTCTATGACGGTTCTGATTGGAAATGGCAGTGGCTGCTGTCCTCTGTCTTGAATTGCTGCATGAGAAGAGGGCTGGAACCTACTCAAGTTGTAAAGAGAAATGAAACCAATTTTTCCAGATTTTGCTGGAGCCATTTCTGAAAAGTGGGCTCTGGTAGCCCTTAAAAATTCAAAATGCACTGCTCAAATAGACAACTAACTACAAAAGAGGACTCAGTGTTCTAAAACGCAAAGAGGGTGCAGGCATCATATGTTTAGGTATTTCAGAAAAGTCATAGCTGTAGAAAAAATGAGTTGTGACCCCCTTTCTTTTATCACTTTGTGGATAGCTTGGGATTTCATTATTTAGTATTTGGGAGCACAAAATTATCTGAGAGTGAGAACTGTCTCTTTGCTGGTTGTTGGGGAGCGGAGGCATCTGAGGATAAATCCTCTTCATTGGTGAAGTTAGAGCTCTAAGTCTTGATAGATATCCAGATGTTCCCTTTGTAGGTGAAGGAGATGAACAGGTTGTCTGTATTTTCAGCTATTTTAAAAGTATATCAAAGGCAGGTAAGACCCTGCAAAACCTGAACACTTGCTAATCTTTTAACACTCCGAGACTACTCACACGCATCCCTCTATTTCCACACATGGCAGATACCCAGATTTTGAAGAGAGATTATTGTATATCTATTGATGTAAGAAACACATTTCTCAAACACGTGCAGTATGTAGCATAGTACATGTATTTTTGGACAGAAAAAGGTTAAATACAATATTTTTTGCATTGTCCTTTGAAATTTCTTGAATCAGTAATTCTGTAAACAGGTCCAGGTCTCATTAGCAGTGAATTTGATCTGCTTCAGTGTTGCCAACTCAATCAATGTAGTGTGTTCTCATTGTACAATGCAGTCAGGTTTTCCTAACTGCACATATGACAATGTATAATACAGTGGTATAAATTTGCAATGTAGACAGGATGAACTGGTGCAGCAGATTTCATAACTCTTATACGCAAGTGCAGTTGTGCTGTTTTGGTCTGTAATATTTATATCAATTGTACATTCCATTCCTAAAATGTTGTACTTTGCAGATATAACAAGCTAAATGAAAAGAAGACAGAATTTCTGGAAAATATTGCGGTCTATGGAGATGCTTTTCTTTTATTGCCAGCATTTTCCTTCAGAAGCAACACAGCCACTTCTTTTAAAGTCTATCACACTCTGAAAGAGTTCAAAGCAAACCAAAGGGCAATATTTTTTCACCCCACTTATCTGAAAAGTCTTGCCCAGTTCTGGAGAACTAAGGGTGTGAAAGCCTACCGGTTGTCATCTGGTTTTATGATCACTAGTGCTGCTCTTGAGCTGTGTGAGCATGTGAAGCTCTATGGCTTCTGGCCTTTTTCAAAATCGACAGAGAAGATGCCAATCAGCCACCACTATTATGACAATCAGCTGCCTAAACCAGGTTTCCATGCAATGCCCAAAGAATACAACCAGATCCTTCAGCTTCATGGCAAAGGAATTTTGAAGTTGCAGTTCGGTAAATGTGAATCAGACTAAAAAGGTAGGTCCCATTCTTACCATGTAAAATGTCTTTATTTTAGTAATGTGTCAGGGTAAAACTTGTTTTGCAAACAGTGTTGGTCTTCTTCCTTTGAGAGACATTTCTTCCTGACACACAATGAAAGTTGTGTTCATGAATAAGTGAAAGGTTGGAGCATTCAGAATAACTGTGTACCACAGAGTTGATAATTGTTTTCTAATTGTGAATATTAGATGGGGTGCATAGCAAAATAGCCATTATTACCATAGATCATAGTCAATCAGTAGTGACTCCATATCTCAGGTACATGTCTCTACCAGCCTATGGTTTAGTATCAGTTCCCAAGAAGCAGCCTCCTTTGGGAATTGCTTTATTAAAGGTATTCATATATTATGATCTACGGGAGAAGGCACAAGAGAATCCTGGCACAGCCTTTCCAGATGTATACAGAGAGCAGAGTGAGGACTAAGATTGCTCCACGAAGGAGTAGCATGCGTATGTTGCCTTGTTCCCTCTTGTTTGGTAAAGATTAGAGCAGTATGCTCTCTTAGCCCAGGGCTGCAGAACAGCTTGTGGACAGCACTGAGGAAACTGTCAGGCACTACCGCAGATGTTGCTGAGGATTTTACCTTGAGGCAGCTCAGAATCTGGGAGTGACAAATATAGGATGAAGTGTCATTCCCTTTCCTCTGTCCTTTCTAACTGTCCCACCCCCCTTGGACCTCTACTTTCTGTGTATTGCCTCAGAGAAATGCAGCACAGTCTGACCTCTGACCTTAAGCCAATTTGCTGTGTACATACTATGGATGACTTTGAAAAGATTTGTCTGCATGTTTTCGTTCTTGGTTTACCCTGTTGACAAAATAAAACCAATTTGTATAAATGCTTCTTCATCTTTTAATCTAACTCAGAAGTTCCCGAGCTCACAATACTGTTGTCAGATTTGCCTTTCAAAGAACTCTATTTTTCCAGGGGGTTTAAGTTAGTATAACATTAAGTGAAGTGTATGGTAGAACCGTCATTGTATACAACATGCCTTAACTGGATGGATGTAATCTCATGACTGTATTACTCAAGTTAAATAAATTAAAATAGCATCATCCTGTTCAAGCCAGAAACTTTAAGTTTAAAAGCTAAGAGCTATTCTTCTGGCTAGGGTCAGAAATGTATTTGAAAATGCTGTTTGTTGGTATTTGGAAAACATGTTTTCAAAGATACAACCACACTTGTTTTAACATCAGAGAATGCTAAGTTTTAAAATAGCAGATTGCTAGTATCAAGAGGGCACAATTTTATTCAGTTTCAGATTTAAGAAATAGAGAAATAAGCTGCTTTCATAAATTATTAGAATCATATAAAACATATGAGAAGGGCCTTAGAATCCACATAGTGAATCCATTCTCCTAGTCCATGGCAGGAAATCACCTAGGTAGAGGCGCATTGTATGTGTATGCAGTTTCATGTGGCTAAGGTATGCTTTGTTGCTTGTATAATGTTGCAGCATATTGGAAAGGTTAAGAAATACATAGTGTATTTTTCTTAGTAGATAAGCTGTTTATACCCTGCAGTTTCCACTGTATTTATTATTCCTATAGTATAAATTACTGGAGACATACTGTGTAATTTTAATTGTAGTAACTACACCAGCTAAGAAAATGAAAGGTAGTTGATATCCTCTAGACAGAAGCAGATAGAAGCCATGAAGATGTTTAAGCATCTGTATGTGTTAATTAAATGCTGTCCAGGCTTGACAGACTGAAAATCACTTATGTGCTCAAAATCAGCTGTAAAGAAAAAAAAACACAAGAAGAGTAAGTTGTGCTTCCCTAATTTACACTTATATTTACAAAGAGAAAAGTTAGCCCTTTAAAACCAAAGAAATTAAATGCTGTCAGTATGAGCTACTATTCTGCTCATATTATCAGCTATTAGAGATAATTGAAATTCTGTAATGAGTTTATTTCACTGAAGATGACCTTTTCTAAAAATTGAACAATTTCCTTTGTCTTTTCAATTTCCATTTTATGTTCTTCTCCCTTCTCCATGTTCTTCCCTGTTAGTGGGTGGCTGAAGGATCCTTACACCACTGGGTGCCCCCAG